CTCTCCGTCATGACCTGTCCGTCTTGGGTGGCCCTGCACGGTATAGCTCATGGCTTCACTGAGTTACGCAAGCCCCTTCGCCATGACAAGGCAGTGATCCATGAAGGGGTTAGTAAGTATAGGACATTGTAAAAACATGTGTTTTAAAGAAGGTTTACAACTAAAAACTAAAACTTTAAAACTAAAAAACCTACTATTAATTTTGATAGATATTTGTTATCAATAAATCAATTTGATGTGCAGATGCTAAGAAATGAGTGGAATAAAGAATTAGAGATTCCTATATTGCTTAGACAATGGGAGAGTGTCTTAACTTCTATAGCAAGAGTGCCAATGGACCTTAAACTATGACTATACAACAACAAATAATATTTAGAATTTATTGGACTCCATGTTTGTATAGAAAAGGACTGTCTAAGACAGCATTTTGTTGGAGATGTAATAAGGATAATGCTTCTTTAACAAAGCAATATTTTAAAATGCAATAGAAGTTCTCTAGAATAGCTCGTTTCTAGTGTAATTTTTAAAAAATTGTTTTATGAGATCACCATTTTAATGGCAGAATTAAATGTGCAAAGTCTATATATCTGAACTCCAAATTATATTTAAAGCAGAAATATTTATATTTGAATTGTGTTTCTTAAAAACTATTTCAAAAGTGAGAAACCTTATCCGTTAGGAGAGAAGTAATGAAAAGCCTTTCATAAAGATTATTCATGCTGTATTAATTTCTTTAGTATTGTAAACTTAACATTATAAAGTTTTGAGATACCCCAAAACTGTATATATTTATGCTTAATATGAATAAACATGAAAACAATGGATTTCGGTATGAATCCTACTGAACTCATAGTAGAGACTTTTGAGTGTTGGAATGCACCCTGAACATTCCTTTAAGGGCCACTTCAACTCAGTGGATCATCTGACTTTGCGAGCATAAATTGTAATCGTGCATTGGGACTAATCTGCATGACATATTAAGAGCACATTCCTAATTTTGTTTACACAAATTGTATTGGGATATGCTACCAAAAAAGTTTGTTTAGAATTGCATTGTGAATCTCTCTCTTTTTAAAAAAAAAAAAACAGGTATCAAAACTAGAGCAAGAACTTCAAAAGCAGAAGGATATGTTGGAAGAAGAATTGAGAAGAACAAATGAAAGGCTTCATTTAGCCATTGAAGAAAACAATGTGAAACGACAAAAAGTAGCAGAACTTACTGCTACAATCAGGCACAGTCCTAACTTTTTAAGTTTAAAAATAATGCAATTCTTTTCTTGAATGTATTGTCTTTGGGGGGGGGGACAAAGTTTTTCAAAACAAAACTTTTATAGTACAACTCTATGCATATCAGGTTAAGAAGTTCTATAGATTTCAGTGGAATTTATTCCCAGATTAGTATATGAGTGCAGTTTCAAATTTATTTATGAATTTATTTATTTATATTGTTCCTTTTCTCATGACTGTAAATGGCTTATACTTAAAGTTCAGATTTATCTTGTTCTGAGGTGTATTTCTAATTTTTTTAATTATTTAGGATCAAACTGTAAGACCTGTAAACATGCTATAATTTTAGTTATTCATTGAGGCATGGTATATTTGCTTCTTCAGGCATATTAAAAAAGAGATGGATCAGTGTAAAGATGAGTTAATAGACATGGAGAAAGAACTAGTGCACTTAAAGCGAGATGGTCATACTAAAGCAATGCAACTGAGCCAACTGGAAATTACTTTACAGCAGAGGATCTCAGAATTTAATAAAAAGACACACCAAGGTAAGCTCTTATGTTTATTATGTTTTCTTAGTGATACCTTTATGAAGGTACATTGAAATGAATGGGAGAAATTTCTAGAAAATTTTCTTGACAATGGAATAATAAAATTAAATAAGAATACCTTGCACAGGTATGTAGACTTTAAACAACTATAATTTACATATGACTAGAATATATGAGAGAAGCCTATTTGGTATTTTTTAAGCTAGCATTCTTGTATTTCCCTGAAAATGCCTTGTTCAGTTTCTGTCAGTATATAGCTTCTCTACTGAAATCAGTGGCTATTATTGATGAAGTTTTTAGAGTGAGGTGAACCATAACCATTTAATGATTTCTCCCTAAATAATAAAATATGAATTGATTTAAACATGATTTTATTCAGTGGCACATAACTTTCTATTAATCACAACATTGACTCTTGATGCTTCTTTTCATTATTAAGTTGTATGGAATATGGGAAGGTGATCTTGAGTAAGACTGAAAGAGAGAATAGGGATTTAATCTTTTATTTTGCTATGATTCCAAATTAGACTATGTATTTACACAAACATGCAACACCTCTGATTTGCCTGGAAGGACCATGCCTATTTATTCCAATAGTTTTCCTTCAGAGGCAAATAGCCAAGAGGGCAAAGCCTTAAAGGATCCTATCTTTGCATATTTCCAGTGCAAATCTGGGCTCAACGATAGTTGTTATTTAGTCAAATAAAAAATAATAAATCAGATAAAAATGCCATGTCCTACCTGTTTTTACTATATATTAAAATAGTTTATTTGAATCCCTTAATCTTCAACTTTAGTCCAAATCTGGGGCTCATCAATTCCAGCACTGGATATCATATAGGAATGGGTGCATTGTCCCTTGCTCAGGAACAAGAAAAACTCTGTATCCCAGTCTCTTCAGTAATTGACTTTTAATTAGAAGTTTCCTGATGGAAAAGTAGTGTGGATCATGCATATGACTGTATTCTAGTTCATTTTGACATCAGCAAGAGACATGACAGAAAAAGAGGAGATTAAATATAGATTATTCTGTAGCATGCTGTCTTGAGAGCGAGCTCCTAAATTTTATATAGTGAGCTTAAGGAACAGTATGCCAGTACAGTGGTACCTCTAGTTACAAACTTAATCCGTTCCGTGACTCTGGTTGCAACTCGA